TTCAGTGAAAGGTGGTAGTGCAGTCATTATATTTTCTCTCTGTCAAAAGGTATCTGCTGAAAGGGTGTCTTCTAACAAGTTCCGCCCACTCACTTTCACAGTTGATACAGTGAATGTGTGGAGATGTCTTGCAATGAATGTCAACAAACTGCTGAAATGCGGATTAGGAAACACAGATACAATTGACCACAGAAACTAACTGGTGAAATAAAAACAACAGCGATTGACTCCGCCAGTCTCTTCCGTGACTGTTTTTGCGTGCGTGTTGGAGCTTCCGTCTGATACTCAACCGGCCAGTTTGTCCTCTCAGGGAGCTTCAGCCACCGTCAAACAAGCAAACACACTGTGGCTGGGGGTCATGTTTGCACTCCCCAGTCACGTGGTATACCAGCCCCTGCGTAACGAATACCGGTATTAGGTTACCGTATTTTACACCTTCTGCCAAACTCGTCAACATCCAACATCGTCGACGGCGAGATGAGATGCGGTGGAGAGCTAGAAGCAGAAGCGCTCTGGGAATCTTGAATTGTTGTGTATGAACAGCTGGCTATGATGTCGACTATGCGCAATGACTGAATTTTACCCGTCACTCACCCAATGCGCCCTTGTGGCTGCGGCGTTCAAAGTATTGCTTTTCCCAGCATAGTACGTAGGAAGAAAAGAGCCCTGGTCTAACTATCATATTGGCGAATCTGGTATATTGATTTGTTTCACTTTGCGCAGCAAGTCCACCGACTTTGAGGTTCACCGTAATTGGCTTGCTATAACCCATTCTCTGCCTGTGAAAGAATGGTACTATGAGGTCTGACTACCTCCCTACTTGATAACGCTGGCAAAAGACTGACGAAGCGATAGAACACCTCAGAATGGACGCTCGACTATCCGCCGTTCTTTGCAGGCCTGGAATGGCTACTATCCAAAGTCGCATCCTTTGTTGATCCGGCGATGCTGAAGGTTGAGAATCTCAATTACGATTCCTGGCAGGTGATTTACTTTCAAAGAACGTCTGTTATTCTCCTCGAGTTTATGTTGATCTATGCGTTGAAATGGTAAGCTACACCTGCTTTGGTGAATGTATACGGGTTTAGCTGATTGAACCCAAGCTACATCAAATCCGTACCTGATCCTAAGAAAGGATTAGCCCACGCCGCAAGTCTTTCCATTCTCCTCTCCCCGGGCTTGTTGATCATTGACCACATCCATTTCCAATATAATGGATTTCTCTACGGAATTTTGATCTTATCGATTGTCCTGGCTCGCAAGCAATCTACACTTCTTTACAGCGGGATGATGTTTGCAGCCTTACTGTGTTTGAAACATATTTACCTCTATCTGTCACTGGCGTATTTCGTCTATCTTCTCCGCACATATTGCCTCGACCCAAAATCCGTATTCCGTCCGCAATTCGGTAACATTATCAAGCTCGGAATCGGGATTACGATCGTTTTTGCTGCCGCGTTTGGTCCCTTTGCGTATTGGGGCCAGCTAAACCAGCTTAAAGAGAGACTATTCCCGTTTTCGAGAGGGTTATGCCATGCTTATTGGGCTCCGAATATTTGGGCCATGTATTCGTTTGTGGACAGAGTCCTCATACTGGGTAATTATCCCCCCAGGCACTTTCTTAGCTTCTATAGACATATATTAACAACTTCCTGCAGTTGCTCCTCGGCTAGGGCTTACCGTCAAACAAGAGGCACTGGGAAGTGTTACAAGAGGACTTGTTGGAGACACCTCGTTCGCCATCCTACCCGAAGTGAGGAAGGAACACACATTTGCGCTAACTCTTATTTTTCAGCTCGTATGTTTCCACCCAGTCCACTTCACATCACATTAGCTCACAAATTTATAGCTTCCCCTGTGTAAACTGTGGCTACAACCAACTTGGGACAACTTTGTCGGCTCTATCACTCTCTGCGCCTATGCCGCCTTTCTCTTCGGTTGGCATGTTCACGAAAAAGCTATTCTCCTGATCATTCTCCCCTTCAGCCTCCTCGCTCTTAAAGACCTTCGGTACCTGGGTGCTTTTCGCCCTCTGGCGGTAGCCGGACACGTCTCCCTCTTCCCGCTTCTCTTCACCGCGGCAGAGTTCCCGATCAAAACAGTGTACACGATCACCTGGCTCGTTTTGTTTCTGTTCACGTTTGAGCGACTCGCCCCCGTCCCGAAAAGGCCAAGGGTTTTCTTACTGGATCGATTTTCATTGTTGTACGATACGGTGTCCATCCCCTTGATCGTATACTGCTCGCTTGTGCATGGACTGCTGTTTGGTAGCAAGATGGAGTTTTTGCCGTTGATGTTTACGAGTTCCTACTCGGCGCTCGGGGTGGTCGGGAGCTGGGTTGGGTTTATGGTAGTCTATTTCACATCGTAGGGATAATTATTGTTTTTCTTTTTTCCTGCTCAAGCGATAGTCAGCGGTAAGGAGACTCTGGAATCCTAGTTATTTCATACTCTAAAACACACATACACATCGTGTCACTGTAGAATATGATGGCAAACGATCTCATACCAATCCTCACTATCCCCACATAAACTATATGAGTATCTACAGGGTGCCTAGCTTACCATTAACAGCCTTGAGGGCAATGCTTTGTTCTTGCAAATTGACTCCTCACATTTGACCCCGGACGTTCGAGGAAAGCCTTGATTTCCTTGTCATTACTTCAACTATAGCAGGACCACGCTGTTACCCTCCTTAACCACTTATCCGATTGAACTATTGTAGACCGGCAACCCCTTCAAGAAGTCACATTTGGTGCGTTAGATGCAGGGCAGTTCTACGGTGATTACTTTTTATTTATTTCCGTCATCCTGAAAATGGGTATATGGCATGGCTGTTTGACAGTTTGGCAGTTTTCCATAGCCATATACCGGTTGTAACGGGAAGTATGATATGCGTCAAGCGACGGTATTAGCGGAATAAGAGGCAACGGCGTTTCCTGCATTAAACTATGATTGGGTATGTCGTACTGTACATAAGCGAAAAGCAGATTAGCAGGAAAGAAGTTGGACCAATCCCTCAAGAAGCAGATCCGCCAGCCGGTACCGTCGGGACACTTGCAACGCCTGTTTCCCTTGCTATGCGAGCATGCCGTTCCTCAACTCTCTCTTTATGCTGTCTATTCTTCAGATGAACTTCGAAATTGTCCACGGTCAATGCTGGGCCAGGGGTATAAAGCTTTCCAGGGCAGTCATGGCATCGGATTCGAGGAAAGTACTTATAAACTAGCTTTTGTCCCGGGTGAGTTGCAGCCGCGTTAGGGATCGGTAAGTTAGTTTGTGGGTCAACAGCTGTGTAGCGCATTGTGCCTTCAAACGAGTCACGGGGATAAATCTTTTTGAGGTTGTTCAAGCCACGGTTTAGCCAGGGTGGTGGAGGAGGCTGCGGTTCGTTAGTAATTATTGACGAATGTTTGTAAGTGGCGGGAAAAATTGAATCATCTTACACCAGGGACACCGGGTTGGGGCGGGTGAGGAGCGTCGACGACACCATTTAATTGGGATGGCGTTGGTTTCTTAGGAGTAGCTGCCGGTTGAGAGGCGGGAGGTCCCATGGAACCGCGAGCAGGGGTGAATGCAGGGCGAACAGGGGTTGGTGCATTTGGAGTCGCAGGCGAACCGATGAAGCCCTTTTGCCTCGCTTTCAAGTCCCTCATGAATTGGCGGAGTCTCTGTGGGTTGATCCTGAGTTTAACGATGAGTTTCTCTGGAACCTCCGAGCTTTCTTCGCGGTAATCCCGTCTCCTTGCAGACGCTCTGGTTTCAAGAATAGACGAAACTTCGGGAGTTGCTGAGCGAGTGAGGTGGCTGCGCATTGCTGACTGCGCGATTGCAGAGGCTGTACGCATATTACGGGTCCTCGCAGTGCCTTGGGTCAAATGAGACATGGCTGGGGAGGCACCGGAGGATTCATCACTATCGGAGTCATCGGAATCTTCCAAGCCGTCACGCTGGCCAGCTGTTGCACGGCGGCTTCTACCTGCACCAGATCGTTTGAATATTCGAGTTTCCTCAATTGAGGACGCAGCTCCAGGAATAACAGACGACATGATCATGGTCCGAATGGTACGCTGCCGGTCTTTCAGATCCGGAAGGGCTGGACCTCCACGACGATTGACAGAACGTTTTTGTCGTCGTTGCTCGCGTGAGACGGCCCCTTCGGCTCTCTCAAGACCAGCTTCGTTGAGTTCATAAAGGCATGGGACGTATTCTTTGGCTTGCTGAAATGTGTGGAATGTAGATGTAAGAGGGGATGGTTGAAAGGCGGCTCTAAGGTCGGGGTCTTCGATAGGTCGGCCATCAAAGGGATGTGAGACGACATATAAACTTCTTGTAAAAAGTTGAGTCTGTTCTCGAATAGAATGAGCGATTGCGGTCATAAACTCTCCTGGAAGAGCCAGATCCCTTGCCGTTTGGATTGCGAAAGCTTCAGGAGAATTCTGTGGATCATTGATGTCCCATTCAAACTGGTCCACAAACGTATGCTGGCCGATGGTGATATCGAGTTTAATTAATATGCGCATTTCATCATTCTTATAAGCGAAATACGGGAGATGCGGATCTAATGGCTCTTCCTCAATAAAAACGTGGGGATGATAATCAGTCAACTGATCTTGGATGCTCTGTGTGATCTGTCGAACAAGCGGGCCGCACGATTCCAGGGGGAGACCGAAGTCTTCCACCAGCTTTTCTGCAAAGACATCGGGTGGCGTGACACGGTCGTGTAAGTTCCATGTAAATGTATCTCGGAGCTTCACTTTGTCCCAGTCAATATCTAGTCGAATGGGTACCAAGTTCTCGGGCTGATCGGCTTGCTTGTCCATTTCTTCTCGTGAAATTCGTACGTCCCGGGATTTTCTCCCTCCAGGCTTCCTTCTATTTGATGGGTAGAGTAGTTGCGGGTGCTGCGATTTAAGGTCAGTCCTAATATTGCCAAACCCTTCGTAACCCACTCCAAAAATAGCTGCCGGGTTCACTTGACGCTCGTGTTGTAGCTGTAGATAGAAATCGCGCTCCGCCCTCTTTTCGTGCAGGATATCGTGGCGAGGGGTTCTGCTGGCGGCAAGTGCAGAGTGCAGCCATTCCCTATGAAGATACTGCTCCAATTGGATTTTGTCCAACGGCGTATCGCGAGGCCCCGCTGGAAGCTCAACAGGCGGCGATGTTGACCGTTTCAGGGAGCCGGATCTGGAGCGCTTCTGGGGGAGGACCATCGCGTTGGCCGACTCATCCTGCAGGTCAGGAGACCCCGGACAGTCGTCCTGGTCATCATGGTCGTCATCAAGCCTCGAAGCTTCATTCTGTGGCTCTGCTGCAGGCTGTGTGACTTCTGCCTTTTGTTTTCCTTCTACGAACGAACCCGGGGTGGACGACCTGTGGGTAGATTGGGGATCGGTGGCCTCCTGTGCATTCTTGCTATCACCAGCATTGTCCCTTTCCATGTGTTCTACCATATCAGGCGGCGGGCCCTGGGACTGAAGGTCCGTCTGAACGGAATCATCGGGTATACTGGCCGAAGGGTCCATTATTGAGGCCCGAACTGTCCAGGGTCGAGCTGCAAGAAAGGACTATGCGATAGACAGCCGAGGATTTATACACATATCATGGATCTAGTGCAGGTCAAGGTAAACCATTAGCTTGAATCACAGAACTCATCTCAACCCTCAACATTTTGATGGTTTTCTGCTACGCGACGCCATTCAGCTATCCATAGCGGTGGCGAGATCAGGCGCGCAAAACAAAGACATATTAATAGGGGCACAATGGCGCATAAAGAACCACCGATCATGATGAAGGGATTAACGCACCAGAGATTAGAGGGGCGCGGTGCCGATTGTTCCTCCAGCTTGGATGCGTTCGGCTACCGGCTGGGTCCGGACAGCAGATTAACGCGCGGCAAAAAATGAAGAAACCGACGGAGATTAACGCGTCTTTCTGCTGGATAGTCACTTAATAACAGTTGTCGAGCATTGTCATTTTCAGGGCTGCATTGGAAAACAAAGAGCAGCTCAACTGTGACATCCTTCACTTCTTCCCATTCCCTCTTGGTGCCTCAATCGCAAGCACACTTTGGTGCTGACTCATCCACTGTGCTCAGATCACGTGGGTGAATGGTATCAAATTCACCAGGAGAGCTGAAGAAATATCACAGAGCATTGTCTACAGAGTACTAGTTAACTATATCAAGTTTGCTTGTCATAATGCGACTGGTATTTTTACTGCTAGAAAAAGAAAATCCCGGCCGTAACTAGAGAGAGCCATGTATAAGTGATAAATCCACAATGTATGTATGTACAGTACGCAGCCTCCAGGAAGCTTCAGTCCAAGACCGCGTCCGCAACGACAGCACGATGGTCGGAATTGAGTACGCCGTCGTCAAATCGGTTTGGCAACACGGCATATCCGTTCACCGTCCAGGGAAACCCTGCTTCGCTTCTCGGTCCAACTAGGATGTAATCAATACGAGTTGCTGGTTCGCCCTCATATCCAAAGCCTGTATAGGTGATTTCGTTCCCATATCGATCGCCGGGCTTGACTTGATCTCGAGCGTCAAGGAGGGGAGAAGTCGGGTCTATGAACACTTGATATGCCTCTTGATTCACCTTGCTGTTGAAATCTCCCGCCAGAAATAGGCCTGAGATACGATCTTTGTATTCCCCATGAAGATATTCATCGACCTTTTTGAGGATAAGCTTGGCGGATTCGTGTCGTGATTTGGAGCCTTGATCATCGAGGTGAGTAGACATGCCGAGCACCGTCTTCCGGCTCCCTCGATGCGTGAAAACACCAATGGTCACAATTCGAATCGAAGCTGCATCCCAGCCTCTGGAGGGTACCTTTGGAGTCTCGGACAACGAGACTGTTTTCCCAGGTCTCCAATTTCCAACATTTGGAGCGATAGGAAATCGGAGAACTATTCTCCGGCTGTCTTGCAATCGGGCGCTACCGAGCTCGGATATAGTCCCCTTGTTCTGACGAACAATTCCAGCGGGATAAATAGTCCTTCAAGGTTGGGCCGTGGGAAG